CCCCCATCCCCACCCCCACCCCGCGGCCCCAGCGCTGCTGCGCGGATCGTTCTCTTGGGAACCGTGGAGGAGCGGACCGGCGTCTGAGGAGTCGCTGGGGACCTGGCCGGACGTGCCGTTTGCGGCGCGACAGGCGCCCACCCAGAGACGGACCAAGGGAAGGGCCCCGCCCACGCGCCCCTCCCCGCGAGCCAGCTCGGGCGGGCGGCCTTCGAGGATCTCCAGCGGCGCCGAGAGTGCACAGGCCAGGCTGGCGGGGGGTTGGCTGCCGGCCACGCTGCGGAGACCGGGAAACCTTTGGTCCACAGCGTGCCTTTCCTCGACTCGGAACTGAGAAGCAAAACAAAAGTTCCCGAGGCCGGAAAGCGGGGAACGCCCAGGGTGTCGTCGGCGAGCCCCGGAGCTGCGGACACCCCGCCAGCGGGGCGCGGCGAGGGCGGACGCGGCCCCGGCGCCTTGCGGGACGTGCCTCCCCGGCGCCGGGGACCTTGTCGTGGACCTGGACGCGTGCGGCCGGCCCGCGCTCGCGCTCGCACGGGTCGCAGGTTCGTTGTCACCGGCTCCGCAGTGTCCCAGAGCTGCCGTTCTTGAAGCCAAACCCCGCACATAGGCTCAGTGTAGCTCGAACTGTTTTCACACACACAACACTTCCTCAGATCTTTAGATTTCAAACATAATGAATAGTTTAAAACACTTCATTCTCAAAAAAAAAAAAAAAAGCCCTGTAATGCCTTTCACATAGAACAGAATCTTAAACAGTGTTTGTTGACTAGGGAACAATTGGATAATGATATTGTGGTTATATCTTTTTAGAACGTCTTTTAGAAATACGTATCTCAGAGGGCTTGCGGGTTAGTTCAGTTGTTTAAAGCGTCTGCTTGGCCCAACTCAGGCGCAGGGCACTCTGGTTCGATCCCCAGCTCCACAAGCCATACTTAGGCAGCCTGAGCTAGGAAAAAAAAAAAAAAATTCTAGAAATACATATCTAGACATGCATGTAATATGTCCAATATATGTAAAGACAAACCTAGGCTGAAAAAAAAAATAAAAAGAATAGGAGTGATATCAACCACCTTCTGTCCTTTCAAGTGAGGTTTCCAGGGATGCACAGATACTCTGGAAAAACATACATAAAGTGTGGGCCATAGACACTTAGCCCTTGTTTATACAAATATCTTTTAAACTATTAGAGGCTGGCATAGGTAACAAAAGTATACAGCTCATTGCCTGTAATACCTGTCGCCTAATAGTCATTGAGTAAATGTTCGTTGAGTGAATAAATGGGTAAGCTCATTAGAAGTGTTGTGGGTGAGACCTGATATATGCAGTAACTCCATTCTTTTAGCCTGCTGTTTAATTGGTGCTAAATTATGGAGAGCCCTTCTCCATGCTCCTTGCAGCTCAAGTTTGTATTTGTAATCCCATGAACAATTTAATGGAATTCTAGTGAGTTCCTTCCAACCTGGCACTTCCAATGTAACCCATGGTGAGGATAAAGACACTTAGGCATATTTGTAGCTTTAGGAAGCCAGGGGGTCCTAAGTGCAGCTACGACGGTGGCCCCAGGAACAAAGGCCTTGACCCATGGCCAAACCCTAGGTTTTATTAGTTTGTAAAGATGGGCGTGGCTTGAGGATGAGTAATACAAGAATGTGAGTGCCTGCTGTGTGCAGGGGCATGGTGGTACATACCTATAACCCCAGCACTAGGGAGGCTGAGGCAGGAGGAGGAACACTATGAGTTCAAGGCCAGCCTGGGATACATAGGGAGTTCAAGGCCAACCTGAGCTACATAAGAAGAACCTGTCTCAAAAAATAAGAAAAAGAATGGGAGTGATATCATCCTAGCTGGAAGTAGCTGAGTGCTGTGAGCTGACTCACTGTTTATAAGTTCCATAACTTCCTGTGAGAATGGCAGGAAGTAGCTGAGTGCTGGGAGCTGGGCTAGGGAGAAGGCCTGAAAGAGCCTCTGCAATGCAAAGAAAGATTTGCAGAAGGGGTGATCTGCATAACACAATTGAGGTAGTACCTAATGTGGTGCTTCAGCTCTGATATTTAATCTTTCAAGCCTCTGGGAAGTTATGGCCTCAAGATAGGAGGTTATGACCTTCCAGTCAACCGTGTGAAGGGCTGGCTCTTCATCCCGACTCCTCTTGGTTCACACAGGGAGCACAGGAGTCTGCAGAAACACTGCCTGCTGTCTTCAAAGACTACCACCAGCACCTAGGCTGGATTGATGTGCATTGCTTAAAGCCAATTGAAGGGATAAGGGAACGTCCTACCCAGCTCTGTACACGTATGGGTACAGTGTCAATACGTCAGGCACAGCCAAAATGCAGACAGTTGCTCCTCCAAGGAGAGTCACCCATGTGGTCCCCCACACAAGATCCTACCACTTATAGAAAATGTCATTAGTTTAAGTCCTACTTGATTTAATTCTCTCACATCACTTTATTTTCCAATTAATTGCTTTGGGCCTGAGCATTCTTCTCAAAGGACTGGGTACCTTTTGGAATAAAAATAAAGCTGAAAAAATACTCAAGATTTACCCCACAAAGAGACCTCCTTTTAGAAGTGACTCCTAAACAATTTGGCTTTTCATTTTAGGGTTTCTCCACCACCAGATTTGCCCCCCATTGAGGATCTGTCTCTAACTACACCTGCTTCGGCAAGTCTGCTTCCAAGGAATACAGTTGCTTCCCATTAAACTGACCCAAGCATATATGTTATAACCCAAGGCATTCTTGAACTGTTAAACAATGAGTGGTAACAAATAAGAGGTTCCCTGGCAAGCACAAGGGTCTGAGTTCAATCCCCTGTTCCGCAAAAAAAAGAAAAAAAAACAAGAGGGAAAACTTACACAAAATAACTTAAATCTAGATTCTTTGGTTTACAAAATATGACTTGTCTCCAATATCTAAGAGTCTGGTCCCTTAGGCCCAACACACAGAGCACTTCCGCCTTTGAACTCCTTAATAAGATGTTCTGTTTCCAATTCTGGGGTCACAGCTCAATTTGCCATTCACAGTTCAAAGCCCATGAATCACATTTAGTCCCAACAGCCATTTCCTCCTGTGTTGAAAACTAGTTCTGTTCCAGAAGAGTTAGCTATAAAGGCAGACGCTTTTTTTTTTTTTCACTTGTGTTCAACGTCATTTTGCAGATGTACTGCACTTCTCAGGATGAAAATGGCACAGGAGAAGCTTCCATAAACTGCTCCCATTTCCTGCTCATTTCTTCAAGAGGCAGCATACAGTAGTCAGGTACAGTAGTCCTCCATACCTTGTACTTATCAATAACAAGTAGCAGAGGAAATTAAAAGGCAGAAGAAAAATAGGCAGATCTCAGAAGTCTGGAAGTGTTTTTCCCACTTGACAGCAGTGTACTGAAAGCTAAAGGTTTATGCAAAACAGAAAAGCAAAAGCTTAGCAGATGGTAGGTGGGCTGGCAGCTAGCAGAGGGCCAAGAGGCAGAATGGAAGTAAGCACATAACTGCTCAGCTCAGGCAGCTGCCCAGGCAGGCCTACCTTTCTTCTTGCCTAAGTGTCCCTGGCACTGACAGCCTGTTGCCTGGTGTGGCACCATCTCTTCCTTAGGAATGAAATATACTTCTCCGAGGGCTCCTTTCCTGTGCTGTTTGTGGGAGAGGCACAAAAGCACCTGACAAGTTTTTTAGGGGTTCACACTGCTAGTGACTATAGGGAACCCATAAGATTTCTAAAAAGGAATTGCCAAATTCTAGAGACTCAGAAAGATAGGGTAAAAACATGAAGAAATATTTGTCATTAGTGTTAAAGGGAAAAGCAGAAGATAACATGGAAAAAATATTAAAAATATGGATGAAATTAACAAAAAGAAAATGTGGAAAAATTTTGAAATGGTAGAATGGTGACATTAAAACAATTATTTTTTCATGTTTTATCTTTTTTTTTTTTTTTT